ACAACATAATTTAATCTATTATCAGTGATTGCGTACCCTACCTTACCAGTACCGTATTCTGGACGCGTATGACTGGTTGGCGTTGCTTTGATTGCGTGGTTCCATGATTTCGAGGGGGAGCGCGCCGCACATACCCCTCCCTCTCACTCCCATCTTCCACCATCAAAACCAGGCCCTAGGGTCAGCCTGAAATATCGATATCTTATTATATCTCATCGTTCTGAGGGCCACCGAGTTGCGTAACAGCGCCCGGCGGCAATGTTCCACCTCTCGCCCTCATCCGGCTGTCTTGCTATTCGGCGAGCACCTACGGTAACTGCTGTCCAAAGCTGTTCAGCCCCACGCGCAGCTACCGCTGCGAGCTTATCGCCAAGCAGAGTAGAAAAGACGTGCGATGCGAGGGATGACACCGTTCGGAGAGATGAGACTGGTCCGAGAAATGGCGCCGGGGGGCGCCAAAAAAAAGCAAGAAAGACATGATTTATTTGTATGTCCGCACCGGGGTCGGAGCGATCGTATCATCCGGTGCAAACATCTCTCCGACCCCAAATCTAAGATCGAGTGCTTGGCAGGTGGGCTCAGACAATTTTTCAGCTGCTGTACTGAGTGAGGTGCCTGGGTGCCTTCTACAACACATGCCATGTCTACCATGTGCGATTCCTGTACCGAACGTACTACATGCGTCGCTTGCACACTGTACCAAAACGCCTGTTGTTGTGGTGGTATGACGTGGTACACTGTCGTAGTACGAGAGGAGCACCGCGTGTGCGTATCGGCACCACCTAGCACCAGTAAGTAAGGTCGGAGAGATAGCACCGGGGCGCCTTGACATTGCTACGTAGTACATGAAGAAGCGAGTAGAAAACTACTGTAGTGTGGTTGTTCGCGTCGAGGTCGGAGAGATGGCACCGGCCGGAGAGATGGGGGGGGTNACATGAAGAAGCGAGTAGAAAACTACTGTAGTGTGGTTGTTCGCGTCGAGGTCGGAGAGATGGCACCGGCCGGAGAGATGGGGGGGGTGTACTCGTAGTCGTGCATGCCGTAGTCGTTTGACCATTGACCTCGCATCCCTTCAAAGACGAGACGGAGCACACCGGGTTCTCACCGGACCAGGCTCTCACATCACCAAGCGCGAAGCACCGTGAGGTATTCGGCGAGTCGCATGAAGTGTGCGCTGCATCCTGCCAAGGGTGTTCGGCATCTTTTGCTTACTTCCTTGCATACAGATGACGGCTGCGTATGACTAAATTTATTTTCTGGTGCCTTCACTTCCGGGGACAGTTAGACCATTTCAACACAACGTGGTGCGATCATCCCCTTTGCGCGGAGTGAGGGTTCTCGACCCCACACAGCATGATCTACTCGACCACCAAGGGTTCACGTGAAAAAAGTTTCAATACTCATGGGCCTACTAATCGAAATTTTGGGGTCATTTGGGGGTGGGGGTGGGTGGGTGGGGGGGGCGTACTCCTATTTTTTTGCATGCCTTAGCCCATTGACCACGCGTCCTCGAGAGGACGGAGCATTGTTCCCACAGGACCGATCACCGATGGCCAATCGTTCCTTTCTACTTTGCCAAAGGTGGCTCAAAAATGTCTTCCCTAGTCTGTCTATCCTAACGATATCCCTTCCCGCCTT